GTTTATACAATGGATCTTAACTCCGCAAAATATGCATTAAAGAGGGTGAGGATATGGGCGAATGAGCAGTTGCCTCTGGTTAGTCTCTTCGGTATTTACTTTTTCCAATTATATTTGCTTTTTGATACATTCGAATTTTTGCAACAAAGAGCACGCATTACTTTTAAGATCAGGAAACAATTGTGAAGCTGGAAAAAAATGTTTTAATCAAACATGAGCTGGCAAGCAAGAACAACAATATTATAGTAAGAAGAACTAAATTCAGGACAAAAGAAGGATATGCTTTTAAGATAAAGAGAGCATTACATAATGGTAACAACCATCGCTATTAATGAAGCCATGCAGATACAAATCTATAGTTACCAAAGAAACTGACAAGATACCAGAAAACAAATATTAGGAACACAGGAAGGAAGAGTCTTTACAAAAGGAGATTTTAAAATAACATTATCAGAAAGACTTAAAAAAAAAAAAAAAAAAAAACTCATAGCCTACCGGAATACACAAAATTGATGTCTCGCAGGAATTCAATTCCATGATTACAGTGTGTGGGGGTCTTTTTAAAGAGATGTAGAACATTTACAAAACTCGATAATACCAGTTACAAAGAACATCTCAATGAAATGAAAAATATTAGATTCCTCTTCTAGTTCAAGAGAAGAGATTTCTGGCCTGGGGAAAACACAGAGAACGGAATCAGGAACTGAAAAGAGGGAGACGGTGTTAATATCAACTCCAGGTTCCCTAGGCATGTGGGAGAGGTGGAGGAAGATGAATGGATATTGATTTATGATCTGGCTGAACCAAATACTTCCTCCTCCCAATTTCCTTACTCACTGAACATCTTCACGTAGACCTGAAATGTGAACCATTAAAATGGGACTCACAGAGAGGGCTCAAGGCGTGGTTGCTTAACCCAGTGGTTCTCAAAAGTGAGTTCCCCATACCAGCTACAGCAGCATCAAATGGGAGCTTATAAGAAATGCAAATTTCCAGCCCTACCCCAAGCCTCCTGAAGCAGAACTTCCTCTAGGGTGGGGTTCCAGGGGGTTCTTACACTAAAGCATCTGAGGCTAAAGGTGTATAAATACCCCAGCTTCCTTACCCTTGGAGCACGTGAACTCTGAGGTCTGAGTTTACACTGGCTCTTGGAGTTTCCCCAGTGAAATTAAGCTCTGTCACCCATAGTACCAATCTTCTAGGGATGCTTCCCCTTCACAGTCTTACTTCCCCAGTCCCCTACTGGTGCTCTCTTCACCTCCCAAATAAACTCCTTGCACTCCTGATGTGAATAAACACATCTACTTCAAGATATCTACTAATATGGCTTGAATATTTGTCCCCACCAAACCTCATGTTGAAGTGTGACCCCCAGTGTTGGAGGTGACGCGTGGTGGGTGGTGTTTGGGTCATAGGGTGGATCCCTCGTGAATGGCTTGGTGCCTCCTTCATGGTAAAGAGTAAGTTCTCACAGAGTCTGGGGCCTCCCCCTTCTCCTGTTCCCTCTCTCACCATGTAACACTCACCTGCTCTCCTTCCTTTCTACCATGACTGAAAGCTTCCTAAGCCCTTACCGGAAACCAAGCAGATGCTGGCGCCATGGTTCGTGTATATTCTGCAGAACTGTGAGACAAATAAAGCCTCCTTTTTAAATAAATCACCCAAGGCCAGGCACAGTGACACACTTGTAATCCCAGCACATTGGGAGGCTGAGGCAGGAGGACCCTTTGAGCCCAGGAGTTTTAGACTAACCTAGGAAACATGGCAAAACTCTATCTCTACATAAAAAATATAAATTATTAGCTGGGCATGATGGCACATGCCTGTGGTCCCAGCATCTCAGGAGGCTGAGGCAGGAAGATCACCTGAGCCCAGGAGATAGAGGTTACAACAAGCCATGATTGCACCACTGCACTCCAGCCTGGATGACAGAGTGAGATCCTCTCTCAAAATCAATCAATCAATCATCCAGCCTCAGGAATTCCTTTATAGCAACAGCAAACAGACTAATACACCTACTGAACCCACTAAGTGTCTAACCCTGCACTGGAGGTCCCTGCAGTCAAGGAGCTGGAGTTATGACTGAGGTTGCCTTAACCTTCCCTTCCTCCTCCTCGGCTGGGCTCTACCTAGACTTCCTCAGGAGAGGGGGCACCAATGGCAGCAAGTCTTCACCCCAAACCAGCCCGATCTGCAGTTCATGCTCTTCTCTGGGTGTTCTAGCCCCAGGCCACCTCCAGACATTTTGCCAGTAGCTCACACCTGCCCTTTACTTAGCCCTACCTGGCTCCATCATGCACTCCCTTGTTGCAAGACTTATTGAGTTTCGACCACCAGCCAGGCCCTGGGAAACTATGTCTCACCCAGTTGAGAGAGTCCACTGGGCAGAACACAGACACATTGCATGCTAATGAGTGACAGTTGGTAGCAAGGTGCTGAGATGGCACAGAACGAGGGCTTCATTATCCTAAAGGTGTATAAATACCCCAGCTCCCTCACACTTGGAGCAAGTTAACTCTGAGGTCTGGGTGTACAATGGCTTCTGGAGTTTCCCCAGTGGGATTAAGCTCTGTCACCCACAGCAGCACTCTTTTTGGGATGCCTTCCCTTCACAATCTTCACTGCTCAGAGGTCAGAGGAGGCTTCTCTGAGGAAGTGCTCTGCTGCACACAGCTGGGAAACAGGTGGGACTGACTTAGAAAGCTGATCAAGGGGGCAGCAGGAACAGGGAGTTCAAGAGCAGAGATTTCTGGCCTGGGGAAACCATAGAGGGAGTCCCTGCAGGGGGGAATGGGAGGACTGGTGGAGCAAGACATCTGTGGTAGGTGTAGAGAAAGGCCACAGAGAAGGGAGATGTGGGCATGTCAAGAAAAGAGACTTTGCTGCACTACTTAGAGGCTTCCAGGAACTGAAAGAGCTTCCTGCTCACAAGGAGACAATCATTGTCAGGTTTAGAAGAATCTGTAGATGAATAATGGCCAAAGTTAAGGAAATAAAACTAGAGATGTGAAAAATCCACCAAATGACCCATCTCTATAAGCCAGAGGTCCCAGAGAAGGCATGCCGCTGGGCCCAAGTGCACCCAAGCCCTTCAGAAGAGTCGGCCAGTTCAGAAGGGGCAGGGACATCAGCTCCCAGGCTGATTAAATAGGAGAGGCTCATTCCTGTGCTCCTGAAGATAATCAGGTTTTAAACAGGATCCGTGACATTGCCGCCTCCTCACCATCTTCTTGACACCGGAGGGGCTTCCAGGGTAATCCTTCTCCACTCAGCATGATGAAAGGAAGGGGTTTAGCCTACTCCTAATCCTGTCGTTGCTTAGAAGATAAGCTTTCTTGGCCTTCAGGCCCTCACTGTAGCTGGTTTTCTTTTATCTCATAAGCTTGTGGGGGTCACTCCCTGCAGTGAGCAAGGTGAATTTTGCAGGCTGGGAATCAACACCAAGGCACCATTAGCAACACCCAACCCCATTGCCCTGGACGCCACACCTTTGTCCAACTATTAAATATCTCCACGGACCTCCCAGGAGTTTTGCAATTGACATACAATATTTGCTTGTTGTAGATGGGGGTGCGCTGGGGAGTGAAGGAGGAATGCAGCCCTTCACTGCCATCCACCTTAGGTCATGCGAAGTGGGAAATTCATCTCAATCCATGGGCAGTTGCTGATTCTTACGCACCCTAGAACAACGGTCCTCAACCTTTGTGGCACCAGGGAGCGGTTTTGTGGAAGACAATTTTTCCATGGAACTTGGGGATCGGGGGAGATGGTTTCAGGATGAAACTGTTCCACCTCAGATCATCAGACATTTGATTCTCATAGAAAGGGTACAATCAGCCAGGCACGGTGGCTCACGCTTGTAATCCCAGCACTCTGGGAGGCCGAGGAGGGCGGATCACCTGAGGTCAGGCATTTGAGACCAGCCTGGCCAACACGGCAAAACCCTGTCTCTACTAAAAATACAAAAATTAGCCTGTCATGTTGGTGTGTGCCTGGGGTCCCAGCTACTCGGGAAGCTGAGGCAGGAAAATCACTTGAACCTGAGAGGCAGAGACAGCAGTGAGCTGAGATGGCATCACTGCACTCCAGACTAGGTGACAGAGTGAGACTCCGCCTCAAAAAAGGGGGGTACAACCTAGATTGCGTGCCTGCATAGTTCACAACAGGGTTCATGCTCCCACGAGAAGCTAATGCTGCTGCTGATTAGACAGGAGGGGGAGCTCAGGCAGTAATGGAGCAAAGGGGAGCGGATATAAATACACAGGAAGCTTCCCCATTCTCCTGCCACTCACCTCCTGCTGTGCAGGCCAGTTCCTAACAGGCCACAGACGGCTACTGACCCATGGCCCTGGGTTGGGGACCCCTGCCCTACAGGATTCAAAGAGTAACAGGCCAGGGTGTGCCTAGATGTATTCCTCCAAAACACAGCGGTCCTCAACCTTTTTGGCATGAGGGAGCAGTTCTGTGGAAGACAATTCACCACCAACAGTAAAGGCTCAGCATCAGTCCCAGTCATCTGTGTACCTGCATCTACCTGCAACACCTCCCTGCGCTCTGAGCTTCAGGGCGCACCTGCACAACTTCCAACTCCAGCCCCTGCACTTCCTTGCCTGAAACCTTTGAGGATGCCTAAGCGATCACTCCACCCCCTGCGACTGGGGACAGGGTGCCATGGCTCATGCCTGTAATTTGAGCAGTTTGGGAGGCTGACACTGGAACATCGCTTGAGGCCAGGAGTTTAAGACCAGCCTGGGTAACATAGCTAATTTTAAAATTAGCCAGGTGCAGTGGTGCGTGGCTGTATTCTCAGCTACTCAGGAGGCTGAGGTGGGAAGATCACCTGAGCCCAAGAGATCATGGCTGCCATAAGCTATGATCAGGCCACTGCACTCCATTCCCCAGATACGCTCCGGGGACCAGGAGGCACAGGTGCCTGGGCTCACGCTGGAATTTCCCCCTGCTGTCATCATGTGCCGTGCACAGGTCAGCCACCCCTGTACCTTCATCACTGTTGTCATCCACCAGAATGATTTCCTTCAGCAGGTGTGTGGGCGTGTGATTGACGGCACTGTGCACCGACCGCAGAATCACAGACAGGGCCTCGTTCACGAAGATGAAGATGATGGATATCTGGGGCAGGTCCTTGGAGTACTTGAGCTCCTTACACCTGAGGAAGGAGAGATTGGAAACAGAGTCAGAGGAGGGATAAAAGCTCATGCACCTCAGCTGGATACAATGAAGATTTCAGCCAGATCTTCATCCAGTCCTTCTGAGGCGTGAATCACCGGTTTCCTCTGGGCTTTTCCTTGGCTAAGAATTGAGAATGAACCATGAGGAGGAGAGCATTAACAGATCCAAACCCACTTCCCCAAAATTCATCACCCAACAGAAAAGGCTCAGCATCAGTCCCAGGCACGTCTCCCTGTATCTACCTGTCACCTCCCTGTGCCCTGAGCTTCAGGGTGCACCTGCACAACTTCTGACTCCAGCCCCTGCACTTCCTTGCCTGAAACCTTCTTTGCAGATGCCTAAGTGATTACTCCACCCCCTAAATCTCTCAACTAGAGACCACTGGGGACAGGGTGCTGTGGCTCACGCCTGTAATTTCAGCAGTTTGGGAGGCCGACGTGGGAGCAGCGCTTGAGGGCAGGAGTTTAAGACCAGTCTGGGCAACATAGCAAGATTCTGTATCTACAAAAAATTTTAAAATCAGCCAGGTGCAGTGGTGCATGTCTGTGTCCCCAGCTACTCAGGAAGCTGAGGTGGGACGATCGCTGGAGTCCGGAAGGTTGAGGCTGCCATGAGCTATGATAATGCTACTGCACTCCAGACTGAGTAACATAATGTGACACTGCTTCCAAAAAAAAAAAGAACGCCAGGAATTGATGTATTTGGTTGGTTCAAAAGTAACTGCATCGACCTAATACAAATAACCCAGCTCCCTCAGCTCTAGAGCAAGTTAAATGTAAATTCCCCTAGCAGGATTAAGCCCTCACCACCCACAGGTGCAGTCTTCATAACGCACCCTTTGGAGGGGGTGCCTTTCCCTCCTAGTCTCACTCCCCACTCCCTGAGTGATGCTGTCTTCACCTCCAAAATAAACTACTTACACTCAAACCTTGGCTTCAGGTTGTGTGTCTGGGGGAACCCAAATAAAGACATCTAGTGAGCCCACTAAGAATTCTGTATTATATCACACTAGAGGTTCCTGCTGTCACAGAGCTAACATTCTAGGAGAGGGAATAAAACACCGATGCCAATAAACATAGTAAAGGAAAAGGACCCTGTACCTGCAGGAGTGTGCAGCCTAAGGCACACCAGCTCTTCTGCAGGCAGTCCTAGAATCTCCCTGGAAACAGGAGACAGGATGACCTGCTGATATCCCTCCCTCAGAAGAGCCAGCAGTCCCTCACATGCCCGAGCGCAGAGATTAAAGGGAGGAATTCCTCTCATCCAGGCTGGACTCCAGAGCATGGAGCTTTGCCTTCTCCGAGGCTCCAGGTGATATATGAGATGATTTAGTACCCAGGGAACGCGTTCTGCTTTTATCAGTCACAGGTGCACCAAGAGTCTGTCCAGGCAGCACTGGGGAATCTGATTTTATGCTTACACCTAAGCCATATGTGCTCACAGGCATGCCCCAGCTCTCACGGCTTTTACCTGTTTAGAAAGTTTTAAGTTGTTAGCCAATTGGGGTTTTAGTTTAGATTGTGAGGTCTGGCTCCAGCCAAAGGAGATCAGACACAGCAGTAAGAATGACCCCAAATGCATAAGGGATAAATTTGTGTGTTTTCCTTTGTTCGTTGTACACTCATGGCAAGATGGCTAGTGAGAGTACCCTTCCTACAGTCCAGGAAGTAAAACAGCAAAGAGAAACAGTGTAATGGGGTCCCGAGGTATGCGCACTTTAATGCATCCTTCTCCTTGTGGGAGATGGTACGATATATAGCACAACAGGATAGGGAGCAGAATAAAGAAAACAGATGAAGCCACAGAGAGAGAGAGGAGCAGAGCTGAAGAGGGAGCAAGAAATACGGCTGTTTCTTATGCCGAGCAGCTTGGGCCATGTCGGGCCGTATTAATCATGTAGGCAATTTTCAGAAGAAAATAAAGTTTTGTTACAATATGTGTTTGTGTCTCCTGGAGGAGCTCGTCCAGGGATGCATTGATCAAGCAGCCTCGTTTTCACCATGCTGCTGTAAATCTATTCTGGGGGCTGCTAGAGAGATTACAGTGATTATTGACGGGTTCACGGGCAGTTGGCAGGAATCAGCTCATTGACTGCGTGGTAGTCCACAAGACAAAAGCACTCCCTCCAGAGGGTCCCTCAGAGGCCCCTCAACTAGAGGTCAGCAGCCATCCTGTGCCTGACAGTGTGGCAGCTGTCCCATCTCAGCTCATTCTCACCAGCTGTACACGTGTGTGTTACCAGAAAGCAGTCCTGATCCAGACCCCAAGAGAGGGTTCCTGGCCTCGCGCAAGAACGAACTTGGGGCATGTCCATAGAATGAAATGAAAACAAGTTTACTGAGAAAGTAAAGGAATAAAGAAGGAATGGCTATTCCATAGGCAGAGCACCTCACAGGGCTGCTGGTTGCCCAATTTTATGGTTATTTCTTGATCATCTGCTAAATAGAGGTGGATTATTCATGACTTTTCGGGAAAAAGGTTGGGCAATTCCCGGAACTGAGAGTTCCTCCCTTTTATAGACCATATAGGGTAACTTCCTGACGTTGCCATGGCATTTGTAAACTGTCATCGCACTAGTGGGAGTGTCTCTTAGCATACTAATGCATTATAATCAGCATATAATGAGCCGTGAGGACGACCAGAGGTCACTTTCATCGCCATCTTGGTTTTGGTGGGTTTTGGCTGGCTTCTTTACCACCTTCTTTACCTCATTCTTTTATCAGCAAGGTCTTTGTGACCTGTACCTTGCACTGACCTCCTGTCTCATCCGTGACTAAGAATGCCTTAAACCTCTGGGAAAGCAGCCCAGTAGGTCTCAGCCTTATTTTACTCAGCCATATTCAAGATGGAGTCTCTCTGGTTCAAATACCTCTGACACACGCTGTCAGAGGCACACAGTACATCAGTACGTACCCACTGACTCTGTGCATGTCTTCCTGGGGCTGATTTCTCTGATGCTTTGCTTTTAACAGCTTTTGGATTTTGAAACTGAAAAGAAATGAGGCCAGATTGTACAGTCCTAGCACCAACTTCTCCACCCACAGGCAATGGGGTTATGCTGCAATCAAGGATGTGGTTTAAGTCAAGCCTCTTGGCTAGGGCAGGCAACTCCCCCTGGGGAAATGGGAAATGGAGCAGCTGTGGGAAGCAGGAAAGTTCCTTTTTAATGTTTGCTTTCTTGTTAAAGAATAAGTGTGGTAATAACTTTGTTAAGCCCTATCCTGTGTAGCTGTTAGACATGCCATGCTTACAGGCACATAATACATTCTATGTCCTTGTACTTTAACCAAGCTATCTGTGCTGCACGTGCTCACAGGCATGTCCCAGCTCTCCACTGCTTTTATCTGTTTAGAAAAGTTTTAAGTTGTTAGCCAATCGGGTTTCAGTTTAGATTGTGAGGTCTGGCTCTAGCCAGCGGAGAACAGACACAGCAGTAAGAAGACCCCAAATGCTTAAGGGATAAATGTGTCTGTTTTCTTTTGTTCATTGTACTCTCATAGCAAGATGGCTAGTGAGAATACCCTTCCTGCTGTCCAGGAAGCAAAAATTGTGTTGCTAAAAAAATCCTTTGTCTCAGTGCTCATTTTTCTTTGCAGCACTGAGCATGTTTCCAACACCAGGTAAGGTGGGCAGTTGCCTGTCCCTGGGGACCAGGTGCATCCTTAGCCCGAAGCAGGCGCCAAGTTTCTGGCTCTAGGTATATTACCTCGGTCTGGGAAAAAGCCACAACCCACACCGGGACCACCTGCCCCCTCAGACTACTTCAGATGTTGAGCCAAAGCCAGGGGCAGGAAGCTAGACTGACGCCTAGGGTAATCCTGACAAAGTCCCTGGTTCTCCCCAGACACATTTTCTGCCTCTCTGTTGCCCTCCTAGTCTACAAAAGCCAGGCATTGGGAGATGGGAGGCTGAGGAGGATGGATCACTTGAGGTCAGGAGTTTGAGATCAGCCTGGCCAACATGGCAAAACCCCATCTCTATTAAAAATACAAAAATTAGCCGGGTGTGGTGGCGCATGCCTGTAGTTCCAGCTACTCAGAGGCTGAGGCAGGAGAATCGCTTGAACCCAGGAGGTGAAGGTTGCAGTGAGCCCAGATCGTGCTTAGCTGGGTGAGGTTAGAAACCTGGGTCCTGGCCAGGTATGGTGGCTCACCCCTGTAATCTCAGCACTTTGGGAAGCCAAGGTGGGCAAATCACTTGAGGTTAGGAGTTCAAGACCAGTCTGGCTAACATGGTGAAACCCCGACTCTACTAAAAATACAAAAATTCGCTGGGTGTGGTGGCGTGGTAAAACAAAAAACCCTCAAAATCCATACCTGGGGGTTGCTGTGTGCTCCTCTAGCAACACCAACTTGAACCTGGACTTCGAAAACCATAAATGTCCTTTCAATAACTAGTCAGTGAGCAATGAACAATCCTTTATCTGAAAGAAGATTGGTAGCTAAAAAGCAAATTTAAGGTCTGGACCAATTTCTTTTTTTCTTTTCTTCTTCTGTTTTTTTTTTTCTGGAGACAGAGTCTCTTTCTGTTGAATCTTTTGACCCAGGAGACAGAGGTCGCAGTGAGCCAAGATTGCACCACTGCACTCCAGTCTGGGCGACAGTGATACTCCATCTCAAAAAAAAGAAAGAAAGAAAGAGAGAGAGAGAGAGAGAGAGAGAGAGAGAGAGAGAGAGAACCAGGGTTTATAATGTCGGGGAAAATCCACACCGAGACAATGGATCACTCAGCACGGCTGGTTTACTTCCTGCAGGAAGGGTGCTACTCACTGGCAGTCTTGCTATGCATGCACACCTGAACAAAGGAGACAGGGACATTTATAACTTTCATAACCTGACGCAATCACCCTACTGCTGTGTCCAGTTTCCATTGGCCGGAACTGACCTCACATTCTATGCTTGACCCGATTGACTAAAAACTGGTAAATTTTCTAAAGAAGTAAAGGCAGAGGAGAAAAAAGAAAGCAGGAGGTAACTT